TGGTTTTTGGAGACAGAGTCTTAGTCACCCTGGGGTTGAGTGCCATAGCAACATAGCTCACAGCAACTTCAAACACTTGGGCTCAAGTGATCCTCTTGGCCTCAGCCTCTGAGTAGCTGGGACTATAGGCACTCACTACAATGCCTGGCTAGCTTTTCCTTTCCTAGTAGAGATGGGGTCTCACTTTGCTCAGGATGATCTCGAACTCCTGGACTCAGGTGATTCACCTGCCTCCGTCTCCCAGAGTGCTGGGATTACAGGCGTGAGCCACTGTGCCCAGCCCCTGTATCTGTATGCTTTTTCAATGATAACATGCTGAATGCTTTTCCCCTAAGATCAGGAATAAGAGAAGGATGTCTCTTTACTTCTCTTCAGAATAGTAGTGAAAGTTCTAGCCAGGACAATTAAGCAAGAAAAAGAAGTAAAGTAAAAGCAGCTGAAGGGTCCATTTGATGAATGTGATCCAGGGTGTCCCAGTGAAGGGAAGGAAGCCCCCCGAACTTGCCAAGTGGCTTCTTGGCTTCACGCTGGGAAGACGGAGAGCAAGCCATCGAGCTACAGGAGAGCTACAGGAGAGCTGCACGGAGACAGAGACAGACAATAGAACCTACTCCACAGATGGCGTGGGGACCCCATGTGAGACAATGGCAACATTTTTAAATGTTCAGAAACCTCACTGGGAAACAGCCATACATGCCAAGCATTGTCTTCAGCTCAGGCCACAGAGGTTAATCATGAACTTCTGTCACAGACAGGGGAGTGTTTGGAAGGTTCATCTGACTTGGGCTGGTCCCAGGCTGGTGTGTTCTGGCACCTTGTTGATGGTGGTTAGGGTCTCGTGGCGACCAAAATAGCTGCACTCAGGTTCTCTTGAGCTTTTCCCCTTTATCTGCACATTAAATGGATAAACAAAACGAAATTCCCACACATGAAACCACATGGATGAACCTTGAAGACATTATGCTGGGTGAGATAGAACAGTTACAAAAGGACAAATACTGTATGATTCTGTACTTACTAATATAAGTAGTAAGATTCATAGATACAGAAAGAAATACGGTAGGTACCAGGAATTAGGTGCGGGGCAAGGGGGAGTTGTTCTGGAGATGAGCGGGCTCTGCAGGTGGATATTGATGGTGGCTGCCCAGCAGCGTAAGTGTACTCAGTGCCACTGAACTGCACCCTTAAAAACAGTTAAGACAATAAATTTTAACGTTACGGGTAGCTTACCACTATTTAAAAAAATGATAATTAGAACAATTCCAACATGCCAGGATTAAGAGCTTCAGTAACTCACTTCCCAGGGAAATTGGTTAAAATTTAAAAAAAAACCCAAGTATTTAACGCTTTTGGAAATTAACCAAAGGACAAACAGCAAAGACACATCTATTCAAAAAAATGTGAAAATTCAGTAAGGAAGACAAGGGTCTGTGGCATTTAAGCCAAGTGCTTCCTACTTCATCCCTCCTAGCTCAGTGAGCTGGAGACCCCACACCTTTCATCCAGGAACGTAGCTCTCTGTCCCCTCACGCAGCTTCCATGAGGAAGCCTGCCCAGCAGCAGGGCTTCCGTGTTCATCATCCTGCCCCCAGCTGCTCATTGCTGACAGCTTGGCTCGGATTAAGTGTGGTTGAGAGGTGAGGACACCCTTCTGCCCCACTGGCAAGCTCTTCCCTGGTTGTGGCCACTAAGAATGTTGGGGAATTCTGGAACTTGCCTCTGGTGGTGCATGAGGCAGTGATTTCATGCCTAGAGCAGCAAACAGACAAGACCTCAGGCTGCTGTCCACTCCCTGCACTTGCCACTCAAAGCCCAGAGTGTGAGGTGGTCACTCCGAGAGAAGCTTATCATCATCTCCGCCCTGAGTACCAGGAAGGTAGGAGGAACAGGCTGAGAGCTCAGAGTGTTTCCCCATAGGAGTTGACCTCATTCTCAGCAGCTTGGTAGAGAAATTTAACACCGAGTACCCTCAAAAATAGTGTAGGTTGTGATAAAGGCCTTGGGAGGAGATGGCTGGATCTGGTGAAGATGTATCCTAGACCAGTGGTTTTCAGCCAGTATGCCACGGGTACACTGATGTGCAGGTCTTAGGAGTATCAAGAAAATTTTAAAGAGCATTAATTAAATTATTTTTGAAAGGAGTTCAAAGCACAGTAAGTATGTTTTTTAGTTTGTTTGTTTGTTTTTGATCAGCCTAATATAAGTGTGCCATGGAAGTTTAACTATAGGTTAACTATAGGTTCAACAGTGCTGTGAGACAAAAATGTTTGAAAAGCACTGGCCTATGTTGTAGGACAGCTAGTTTGCAGTCCCTTGGAACAGAATAAAGCCACAAGGAAGAGCCTCTTCAGACAGAGCAAGTGTCAGACAGCCAGGAGGAGCCTCTGCAGACAGAG